ATTCCCGCATTGAAATGTGACGGGTTCTGCGAGAACCTCCTGACAACTCGGACAGGTCAGATATTGAAGAATTGCAAGTGCGTTTGTGTCGGAATTGTACTCTTCATGTTCCAGAGAGAATGATTCTGTCGTCGATTGCACATTCTCACTATCCGAATTCAACAATGACATTATTTTCATATCTGATTTCTTTTTTTTTTTTTACGAGATGTGACCCAGCGATTTTTTTGAAATTTAAGTTCGTGACAAAAGTTTGCAATAAAAAAAAAAAACAAAAAAAGGATTTTCTTTTTTTGTATGATATTCAGAATTTTTTTTTTTCTTCTTTTTTTCTTTAAAGAGTGGGGATGTTGTAGAATATATTATATATATATATATATATATTCGAGAATATAAATGATATGGCGAGGATAAAATAATAATAATAAAAAAAAAGTAAAGAAGTTATGAAGTCCCCTTTTTATAGTTCGCGCAAGCTGAAAGGTTTGGATGAATTGAAACTAAATGGAAGAAAAGAGTACAATATCAACGCATTGTTAGTCATAAGCTTCCACTAATAATCAAGAATATTTCAAATAATATTTTTGCTAATTAAAAAAAGAAAAAAAAAAATAGGAAGAGACGAAAATTGGTTGAAGTTTTAAAGGAAAAAGATGGAAAAAAAAAATATTCTTGTTGAACAATTGGATATATATATAATTTTATATATTTATTTAATTTATTTATTTATATTTATACATTTATAGTATAATAATTATATGTGTATAATAAATACATAAATATAAAAGTACAATAGAAATAAAATAGGTACCTTTTTTTTAATTTCAAAAAAAAAAAGGTGGATTTTTTTTATTATTTATGATGTTTTGAGAATGGCTTTTCGATAGAAAAAAAAATTTTTTTTTCCCCCCTCTTATTTAAGAGTTTTTAAATATCCTTAAAATATTAAATTATTTAAATTATTGTAATATATATATTCAATAGTTGAAAATCTTTTTGTCGCAAATTTTCCAGAAAGTGGGATAGTGTACACAAACAACAAATTAGGGAAAAAGTGATTTATAATTCATTATGTAATATATTAACTATCAAGTTTTTTTTTTGGTACAGTAAAACTTGCATATATGAACGATCCTGTCGAATTGGGACAAGCACGAATATCAAAAAAATTTTTATCATCGGCGATATTTTCAAAAAAAAAAAAATTATCTCGTTTCCTCGATGTGACTAAAATTTTGTTTTTGAAATTTGTGATTTGTTTCTTTCTTTTTGTGAACTTAAGGATTTATTTAATTAGTTATTTTTATTTCTTTGCGATTCTAATAGTCTTTTTTTTTCACATTCCATCAATGAAAGATCAAGTCATGAAAAAACAAATATGCGATACTTATCGTATGGCGTTTTCACGCTAGCATAATCACTCGATGAAAAAGCCTCGGAAATCGAAATATATCGAAAATATGAAATCGTCGATTCTCATGCAGTCACCGTGAAGAGAAAAGTGAGAAAAAAAAAGGAGACGACAAAAGATCTAAATATCAAAGATACGGGAAAGTGTGACGGCTTACATTTAATTTTCCTCGGGATTTCCCACTAAAAGTTCAGGTATCCTACATACCAAAACAATTTGTGATCCAACATGTGGCGTAATCTAATTTCTTTTTTTTTTTATTGTGTGTTTCGAAAAAAAAATTCTGCACGACAACGTTGGCCACATTTCTTATCACCTATCACCTTTTTCTATCACGTCCTTATTTATTTGATTATAATTAAGTCCTTATGGTGTTTTACCTCTTATTCATTAATAACAATAACAAATAATAAATAAAATAAATAAAATGATCATGTCATTTCTTTGGATAAGGAAAATAATTTTTCTTTCGAAAAATTATCAAATCAATCCTTATTCGAACGATATCTTACGTGTAACGGGGCGGACAATCAATGATTCTCGATAATTATGGTAAATTGGGATGTAAATTTCGTAATTGATCTAGTACTTACGGGATGTATCTCATAATAATAATTATAATCAACAGTAAAATCAATGATCTTTGAACGTGTGTCCAAGAGGAGAGATAATACCGGATGAGTACCAGAGAAAGCTAGCTTTGACTTAAGGACCTTTTTTTTTCCTTCTCATGTTGAATCTGCACGCCAAATCTTTTTAAAAAAATGTTCTTTTTTTTGTACGACAAATATAAGCTGTGAAGGGTTGTCCTCAGGTTTGATGATCCTTTTTTCAAAAAAGATTTTCAATTCTAATGAATAGATAAACGGATAAAATGCATGTTGAAATATAAAGGAACCACCCTTAACCATTCTTGGTACCAATTCATCCTGACGAGATCAATGACTAAGCGTCACGTAATAAGGTCCATGACGCGACACAAATAATGTTTATATGAAAACAATATTTACAAAGGCTACCTTTTTGTAGCACACCCAATGTTTACTTAAAATTCAACCCTTTTCTCCAAATTCTATAAGGTTTTCCTTTATTTCCTTTATTCTAAGATTAATGCGGTGTGACATCATTATGCGAAAGAATTGGATGAGGTCTTTCAATCCTTTCCCTTTAATCTAATTTAAATTATTATTTATTTATTTTATTATTTTTATTTGTTGCGGACGCAAACAAATGAGGGGGAGAAAAAGGGTAGGGTTACATATCAAACATATCAAGTATCAAGATCAAGAAAGGGTCGAATTTATGGCGTAACCGCTCGCATGAATTGAAAATTCTTTGTCGCGTGGTACCGTTGAAACAATGTTTATCTGTGAACGTATTGTGAGAAATAGATTAGATGCGAAAGGTTTTTGCAAAGGCCTGAGAGGAACACAGAGGAAAAAAAAAGACCCAAACCAAAAAAAAAAACGGTTTGTAAGTATGGGGGACATAAAAAAGTTTGACATAAAAGACGATTTCACCATTTAAGGAGGATTTTCCTGGTGCAGGGACAGGTACATATACTTGTGAGAGTGATTTGATTTTCCAATTGATAAATACAATAAACTTTTTTTTTCGAACCAGCAAAAACCTCGAAATTGCTTTTTTTTTTTTGATTCCGGAAATATGTCTAAAAAGGTGCGATTATATATACATTGCACAATAAAAAAAAAAATATTTTGAAACAAGGCTGAAATGGTTTGTTCAGTTTGTCCCTTATCTTTCCAGTTAAACATTTGCTTATAAATCGCTGACTACTGACAACAATGCTGCAATTTCATGATATTTGATGTGATTAGCACGAACTATAAATATTATGTGTTTTGTAATTCACTTTATACGTATAAAAAAATGTAAAATGTTTTGCTGGTTCTGCTGGTTCCAATCCCTGTTTAAGTTCAAAACATTCGCCAATGAAATTCCGAACTTTTTAATTAACCAATTGATGGTGTTTAATCGAATTGAGCGGCATGGGTGGCTTTTTTCCCGTCAAACAGATGGCAAGAGTCGAGTTTGTACATGGGAAATTTTCATCATCAGGGAAAAAAAAATTAAGAACAAGATTTAGGTTTTGCAAAAAAAAAAATTAAGAATAAAAAAAAGATGTGCGTCGTATTCTTTCGACTTTCCCTTTTTTTCATTAAAAAATGTTGGGTTTTTCACATGACGTGGATCCTATGCGAAAAAAAAAAATTATTCCCGTGAACACGATTATGGCGTAATGAATGACATAAGTGAAGATCGATAATAGATAGTCTTCAACATTATTAACATTATTAAATTTGGCATGGAAATGGAAATGGATCTACAAATACCCTGTCACAAAACATTTTTGAAAGGATAAAAAAAAAAAGGTTCGGACCGGTGTGGCAACGTCCCCGTAATATATTTCCGAATGTTTGAAAAAAGGGTTATCACACAACACTCAAATGTCAATCTTTCAATTATGCGATGTTACAGTAGATTTTAATTAATTATGAATAAAGATACAAACATATGCCAGATATTGTGGTACTTTGTTCTTTTGCTTAAATTCTTGGCATTTTTTTTTCTTTTTTTTCCATATTTAAAAAAGTGAGAGAGATATATATAAAATATAACAAAAAAAAAACCCAATTTTTTTTTCTGTTTTCTTTCTTTTCCTTTAAAAAAAATAAAAAAAATAATAAATATTGATATGTTGATGATAATAATAATATAAATAATAAACGACGTAAAATTTTTTTTAATTTTAGTAAAAAAATAAAATAAATACATAATAATATCATATCATAAAAAAAAGGTAACATTACACTAAACTTTATCGGACGATTTTTTTTTGGTTGAAGTGTAGATCCCAGCACGGAATGAATATCTTTGACGATTTTTTTTTCTTTTTTCGTATAAAACATTCAAAACGTGGTTGTCGATGTGGGGAAAAAAGAACATCCGGAGAAGTGAGTGTGAAAACATCATGAAAAAAAAATAAAAATAAAAATATAATGATAAAATAAATAAAGGATAAATAAATAAACAAAAGAATCCAATTATATTATAAATAAGAAATAATGATATATATACCAGGTAAGGCCATCATTCTTCATATTCCTTTTCTTTTTAATTTTGATTTGGCAAAAAAAAAAATAAAACTTTTTTTGCTTTCCGTCATCCCCCGGCCCGTGTAATCACCTGACCTGACAGATGGGCTGATGAGTAATAACGTAATTCAGAAGTCAACATTCAATCATTAATAATCATGTCGTTGGCGCAGTCACACTTAAATATAAATTGTTGACCGCTTTCTTTTTTTTTTAAAAAAAATATATATATATAAATAAATAAATATAACCAATTAAAAAAAGATATATACATGACATCAAATAATAATTCATCTGCAACTTCCTTTTCCTTTTCGGATAATAAGGAACCTCCACCACAAAGATCTCGTTCCCCTGACACACATAAATCCCAATCAAGACATCATCGTAGAAGGCACACCTTACCTTCAAAATTTCACCATCATCCAAACATTACTAATAATCACCCATACTCTAAGCATGAGCATTACAAAATGGGGGATTCAATTGATACCACCTCGTTAAATCAAGGCATCGTGTTTTATCAAGATCCAGATAATGGGGAAGTGGATTATTATTGGGATCGTGACAACGAATCTGAAATATGTTCGCCTTCGTTAATGCCTGGGAATGCCGAAATGATTGCATATGATAAGATTTCCGGTGATTCGTCAGATCTTGAAGAAAAATATTTTAAGATCATGGCCAAGGAACTGAGTAGGCAACGAACCGAGGATCGTCCCGAATCTACAGGAGATATGGACGTAGAAAACACCGATTATGCCCTATCCCCCAAGGATGATGAACAAGAAGTGAATGACATGATTAATGAAATGAACGAGTTATTAAAGAGCAGTGATCAGGAATCGAAAGAGGCTCGTACACCGGCTACGCCGACATCACCACGTGGTACGGAAAGAAGAGATCTGTTGTTAAGCGAAGAGGAAGAGAATGCGGAAGGAGCCGTCCACATGCCTGAGCATGACCCGGAATTTCAAGATGAGGCTGGTTTGGAAATTGCATTTAATACGGATGATGATGAGGGGATGGATCCGATGGAAAATCAGTAGTATAAAGTAATTAATTATCTGGAGATGGATTATTTTTTTATTACAAAATTACAAATAAATCATTTCATTCATGCTGTGAAATCGCCTTGTACCGATTGTAATATCTTAAGTTTATTGTATATGATTTATTAATGCCTTTTTTTCTCTCTCTTTTTTTTTTCATAGAATCGGGATTCGTACCCTAAAAATCATTTCTAAACCATATATAAATAAATGTTTACGACAACAATAAAGCACATGCATCAATGATGACAAAAGGGGTTTCATTATGGTTCATCATCCCTGTTGAGTTCTATTATTATTATATAATTATTATTTTTATAACGCTAGGTTTACAAGATTTTTTTCAACAATTTTTTTTTCGAAGTTCCGATATCGAAATGTAATATTGCATGCATTATTTTCAAACATGAAGAAAGTTGTAAATCATTGAAATAAAATTTTTTTTCTTTTTTTTTTTCCTTCCGATTTTAAAGAACGATGACATTTTCAATGAGGTGTTTTAATTACAAAGTGACAAAAGAATAAAGAAACTGAAAGTAATGGTGCAATTTGACAAAGTGACATACTGCAGGATTTCATGTAGGTTAAATTAGGCAATCGATAAAAGTTTTAAATTTCACAGATCTACACTTCAAACAAAGAGCATGATTAAATATAATACGGTGAATACTTATCTATGTTATCATGAGCATATATATTGAAAAAATTACAAATGCATTTTAAATTGGGCAATTTTTAAAAAAAAGTAAATGGAATGTAAAAAAGGGAAATTTATTTCTTGCAACACAACATTAATATTTATTTCATGCATTTATTTATTTATTTATTAAAAAATAAATTCAAAAAGGTAAAGTAAAATATAAAGAATGAAACAAAACAAAGATGCAAAGCGACGAATCCTCTTCATAAGCATCGATCGAGAAACAGTATATAAATTTATATATAATTTCTTTACTTTAATTATTCAAGACTTTATTTAATAAGCGAATGGGTTACACATAAATGATAATCTTTGATGTACGTGTTCATTCGTTATATAATTTATAGTCATATTTTTATATACAACAAATCATTTCTGTATTGAATAATATCAGCGAGAGTCAAGCTGTACTTTTTTTTTTTCCTTTTTTCAGAATGCATTAATTGAAAGGAAATATTTTGCTCCAAATTTTAGATTTTTCATAAAAAAGAAAAGAGAATTACATGTATCTTCATACAAGAAATTCCCTTGAATGAATGTGATGAGGATCAAAATGAAGATATCAACGCCTTATACATTGTTGGACAATTGGACAGTTTTGGACAGGTTTTGGACACAATTTCTTATGTCCAAAACTTTTTCAAAAATATTTAAAACAAAAAATGTGTTCAAAACCCATCACTGCCTTATACCACCAAGCAAGCGTTCATAACGTTTCACAATTATAAATACTCGAGAGGAACTTTATACAATCCTAGGGAACTTGATTTCCAAAGATAATATAAATATGAATATCACTCTCTCAATTGCTTTCCTCCTTCTCTAAAGATCGAACTTTGGAAGGTTCACCACATTTATTTTGATTATTTATTTTACGTAAGCATCGATCCCTCATAAAAAAAACCCTATCTTTTACAATTGCACAATGCACCATTTTGTAATATTCCTTTTTTTTCCCTTTCACAAGAAAGTAATGATTTATAAGCTGAAACTCTTAATTATTAATATTCTCGTAATGAGTAACATTGATTAAATGGCAAGAATATCATGTCATGTATATCTCTTTATTTAAAAAGTACGATGTGGTACTGTATAATATCATGTATTGTTGTTTGGATATTTACGCGCGAATTATTAACCGGTTTGTTTTGAATCACGTTACCGGATTTATTACCGGATTTTATTGAATTACCCAACGGAAAAAGTGTGTAAATATTTGCCAGGATTTACCGAATTTTTTTTTTATACATCTTAGTAATTTGAAATGTGAAAGCGCACAGAGCAATCAAAAATTACAAATAACTGCAATGTATGAAATGCAGGTTATAATATAATTAAAAGGATCATGCATGAGAGCTACCCATGTTTAAACTATCTTTATATTACAAAATATAAAAAAATGAACAAAAAAGAAATCGTCAAAGAATATCCAAACATCTTCATTATGATAATAATTAATTATAAAGGAATTTTTTTCGAAACACCACATCATTGATATTGCATACATAATCCTTAAGATGATTGCAGTTTCATGAGATATTTTTTTTTTTAGTCGGCAAATCCATGATTTCATGCCAAATTAAGGTCACGAGTCGTTCATTGCTGACCAAATAGGTTCCGAACGGAATTTGACTTGGAAAAATTTCGCAATATTTTAAAGAAGTTTTGGAATCATAAACTTCAACTTATTTACTTTATAAATTATTTTTTAATCTGATGATAAAAGAATGCTTTTGTTGTGAAACCTATAACGTCATTTTACCTTTGTATCACATCCAATTTATATTGTAATTAAAAGTTGAAAGGCATAACAATAGTCTTTGTACAATCTAACACTGCATCAATGATTATACTTTAAGGGGTGTAACCATTACAAATCATCTTGTTTTATTAAGTAATTTAAACACTACATTATCCTTCTAAAAATGTATGAAAAAAAAAAATGATCATTAAATAATCATTTGAATGTCCCAAGCACGTTTTGTTATCACACATTTATGACCTTTCCCGTTGTGACCTCCGGAAATCAATATTTGTAATTTAACAATGAACCATTTTTTTCGAATTTAGTAACTCCGAAATAAAATTTGCCTAAATTGGAGAATAGATTGGTTGGAAAAAAAGTCAAAACAATAAAATTTTGTACAAATCACAAATCACTCTCTTTTTGATAGTTCTGATTTGCCATATATGGTATTCATATGTCTATTTTCGTTAAAAATATCAATTTAATGGTCGATTTACCAATTGACATTACCACAGTTATCATAACTATCATAACTGCAGGGAGAAGATAATAAAATCCACAATACTCTCCAATTTTTCTATTCAACTATCATAAACAATTTCACGGGAATATCAGAAAAAAAATATTTTTAATATTTTAACGGATAAATACATTTTCATTTATGTATAGGTTGTATGATAAATATCTTATTAAGAAACAATAGATAACTTAAAAAAGTTGACAGAAATCTTTTTTGGGGGGATAAGAATATATTTTTCTTAATGGTGGGTGGTTACATGATGTAATGAAAATCAATTTTTGGGATATTCTTATTTTTAAAAAAGGTTTCAAAAATTTAACTAATTTAAAAAAGGAAACCCCATAAAAAAGAGAGGTCTTTGCGCTTTCCTACTAGGAAGATTACGTAATCATTAAACTCTTTTTTTTGATCGAGTGTAACATTGTAATCGCCTATTAACATTGATCGAAACCAGGTATTATTTATTTATATTTGCTCACATGATTGATTTATATTTGGGGAGGATTTCCATAAAAAATTTCTGAAATGCAGTATATATAGATATTTTTTGATTTTGTTCGAGCTTTTATAACGTTAGAAGGGAGGCTTGCCTTTAATTCAATGCACGATCAAATCATAATCGAAAAAATTTGTCAAAAAAAAATTATCTAACACAAAGAAGAATTACGAGCGTATCCCATCTGAACGTGTGTAAAGCTTTAATAAATAAATCCTTTCCCTGACAAAGCCAATCATGATTTTTTCCGGAACGAATAAATCTCGCGCGTGCTCAATGACTTAAATAAAATAGTGAACCTCAATAATTGTAATCTTGACAATTATTATCAAATCAATCAGATAAAAAATAAAAATTAAATAAAATCGAAAAATGTTTTTGCACCGATAATGTCGACACCTCCTGGATGTATGCTCTCTTACAATAATTGATGCTTATTCATTCATGTTTATCATGTTATCTATTTGAATGATTATTACTTTGCTTATGAGATTCAACATGTTACGCAAAGGTAAAATTATCCTCATTCTATAAAACAGCGGACCGTCACCATATGTCGTGCTACGGTGGGAATTTAATGTATCGAAACCCTTCACATTCGACGAATTTGGATGAAATAATTTTACATAATATGAACTTAAAAATTGACCTCGCTAGTAGTAAATCATGTTAAAATACTTCAATGCCGGATATGTCGCGTAATTGACCAATTTATCGGGATACTTTGCTTACGTAAATCATATAATATTTGCTTCTTAAGTTCAAGCCCGATTTGTGTATATTCCCGAGAAAAGGAAAAGAGGACGTTTTAATTATGGTATTACAGCATTGTCAATCATTTGTGGTTTGACCATGAAAAGAGATCCATAAAAAAAAACGGTAATGTATATTAGAATAATGATCGATAAATGGAAGGTTGCCCCTTGATACGTCGATGTACATACATTATGAATCATTATTACTTCAGGATCGAAAATCAGATGAATTTAAAGTTCTCGACTAACCTTATATGTTCGCACTCCAGTCAAAGACGATCATTCACTTATTATGTGATGTCGCGTACATAATTTCTGACAGATCATATCGAAATTTTGTCATGTTTTTTATGCACATAAATATTTGGTAGAGATCACCCTGTTTATTAAGCGCTTTGTCATAATTTTGTTCAATAAAGACATGTGAACCTATATGATAGTTATGCAAATAGATAAGTAGTTCCCGCAAGGAATCATCCACATGAAAAGGGTCCTTTTTAGATCCCCATCATCCGAAAAAAAAACCCCGATCGCGTTGAAAAATTTTACCGAGTCTAGTCCCAAAAAAAAACGAACGGCGAATTAAACGGATCATAATTATTTATTATGTATCATCAAAGTAAAGTCTGAATTGGATTCGTGAAATCGGTCCATTTTCCAGATGAACAACTGGATTCCTTTAATGGTAAACTGTTGACCTTATTCGTTTTCCATTGAAGCATGATATTATTAAGTGGATGTACGGTACGCATCCATTTTTGGAATATTCACCGATCGAAATTTTATTTGTTATTATTATCATCCAATGAAAACATTCCCACTTTTAATTGAACCAATTATATTTTTTCGAACATTTATACTCTATAAATGCAATGTATAAATAATATCGTTCGCTTAATCTTCATTTCCAAGGGTTTCAGATATGATGGTTGTCCATTTATAATTTTTGTTTTTTTTTACAATAAAATGCTTGGCGACTTTTTTTTTTTTAAAAAAAAAAAAAAATAAAATAAATAAATAAATAAAAATAATTCAAATGAATACAGATTTGATTTCGTAATCGAAATTTAAAATTAATGAACCTTTCCAATGCATAAGTTACAAATTGCGCGTAAAAAATAGTAAAATCAATATTTTAATGATTTTTTTCATTTGAAGGGTATGAAAATCCAATCCATAAGCTACTAATAGACGCTTATTATTAATCTTGTTTTCATAATTTTTTTTTTTATCTCCTAAAGATAATCCCTATGCTTTTTAAATATTTTAAACACGACTTATCACATTGAATGAAAAAATATATATATAATAAAAATTTTTCTTTGTCAATAATTCATAAATATTAGATAATCTAATTAATCTACAAGGTCCATGAGTGGAATTATTATTGAATGAATGTTATTGAATGAAAAATGTTATTAAGAATCTAGTTTAATTAGATAATATTACCAAATCGTTTCTAAGCAATACATAGTGATGATTAATAAATTGTGATGATTTTTGATGTTACTCTTCATCTCATAAAGGAATAAATCTATATTACGAAAGTTCATATGCGGAAAAAATGGTCGTAGATCCAAAATGTTAATTCTTGTCATCGTCATATAAAAGGATTATCGGTCCTTTTTTTTTCCTATCAAAATTATATCCTTCGTTTCTAATACTAATATAATAGGATCGTTTATAATCGTTTTATTAATAAAAGTTAGATTCGGAGGTATTTTGACAGGCAAAAAAAAATTTGTAAATCCAAACCTCATGGGTTCTAAGAGAGACGTGAAAGAAAATAAACGGGTAAAAATTAACCATATAGGAAATCACGAAAAGAAACAAGAAGGGGGGGGGGGGGCTTAAAGGCTCGGCATCTTTTTGGGGGAGATTTATATATTTTTACATAATATGTACAAGGAAGTGGTATAGAAAATATACCTAAAAATGTGGTATGAAAAAAAAAAGATTCGACCCCCCTTAAAAAAGATTTACCAATTATAAATAAATTATTTAATTATTTCTTTTATTTGGAGGATTAAAAGTTTGCCTAAAGAAATAAAATTATAAGGTACGGAACGAAATTAGTAATTGATCTAAAAATGAGAATCTGTTTTATTTTAAGTATGTCACGTGAAATTAATTTCTTCAGACCGAAATTATGATTAATTTCTGCTAATTCTAGAATTTAAGTCATGTGATATGGGAAGGTTTGCTAATTTATATCATCGGATTTCGTAAATTGATTTTAATAGCAAAACGACCAATATATAAAACGTTTGAATCAGTATGAATTCGCACTTTAGTCTCTCCAAGAAATTCTTTTTTATTGCATTTAAAAATTTGAATCCTACTTACAATAAATAACGCGATATATTATATTCTGGTTTCGATCAATTTATCTTTTTAACAATATCACGAACTATATCCGCTTTTATTATTTCAGTCTAAATATCTAAATTATGAAAAATAAAGGAAAAAAAGAATCATTCCGGTTCTATTCGAGTATAATTATAATTTTTTTTCCAGAAATTTTGTCTTCACAGTCAGTCGAAAGTGTTTTGAAATTTAACAATCATAATTTAATTATTAGTAATTAAAATAATTTTAAAATCGTGTTGAATTGGTTTTGTCAGGATTGAATAGCCCATGGAAATTCATTTGGTTAAAAAATTTGAAATTTTGATTTTGTCGAATTTCTAGACAGCTCTGATATTTTTATCTAGGGTCTTCATTGAAAGTAGGATATTCGAATTTTATTTCCAAATAATTTAAATCTAAAATTTCGAATAAATAATATAAAGTCATTTCAAATATCGTAAAAGAAACCCACCCACCGAAGAAATAAAATTAAACATAAAAAAAAAAAAAAAAGGAATTTTCGGAACCAACTAACCTTTAATTATATGGGCTGATCCAGTTCTCTGGTACAATTATTTATTAAATGGAGAAATCATGTGTTTTTAGAAAATATTGGCCTAAATTAACATTATAAAAAAATATATATATTATAATATTTTCGAATTTTTTCTTGATTTTTTTTTTCTTTTCGAAATATTTGAAAAAATACTAAGGAAAAAAAAAAAAAGTATCATCCCAGAATATATAGTTAATATTCGTCATAAAATATATATCTATATATATATATATATGTCTTTCCATGAACTGAGTAATTTGCTTTTTCATACATGAATTTCCATATCGAAATATCTTCAGAATTATTCTTTTTGAGAGATTATAATTTTTCTTGATTCACATACTTTCCACCATAAAATTGAATTTCCCTTTTTTTATTATTATTATTTTTGTTTGTTAACCGTAAACCTAACTCAAAGGATCTACAGTATTTCATAGTTCAATGTTTTTGATTCATCTTTTTCTACTTTCCTTTTTTCATCTTGTTTTCTAACGCAATGTCACATGACTATATAATTAATTTAAAAGGTCACCAAATAAAGTTTCTTTGTTAGGCCCTGGTTTATTTTAATACAAGTTTTTGTCATCTTGCTCGTCGTTTTATTGTATATATGAAACGAATAATTTGTGAAAATTACCAAAGTTTAGACCATTATCCGAGCAAAAATGTCTTAACAGATACCTTATTCCGGAACATCAAAAAAAGGTAGAAAAAAAAAGGGAGCAACGCTTGAAAAGATATTGTAATTTTTTTAAAAAAAAAAATTAGAATTTAAGACATTTCTCTATAAATTAATTTTCGTTTTTTTTTTTATTTTTATTTTTTTTTTAGACGTCTAAATTTTTGAAAACAATTAAATAATAATTAAATGATAATGTTATCGCACAAAACAATAAAGGAAAAAACAATAAATGAAATGACGGAAAAAAGATCGATTAATGTAACGGGCGTGATAATCCTCCTAAAATAAGCTTGTTTTGCATTTCTTGGCACGTATTCCCGTTTCGGCACTATTGATATTGGTAACTCGACCCCAAATTCATCATTGTAATATTTACAAAACGATTTATTCATACATACATTTATCGCACAATTACGATCATCAACCAAAAATCACGAAACCCCTCGGGATCCTTCTTTGCTCAAAATTTTGCAAGATTTTTCGATATTTATTGGTTATTTCTCAATCTCTTGACTATAAAATAGATTTTTTTTATTCCCTCGAGCAAAACTAATTTCTTGGTTTCTTTTTTTGCGGCAAATTATGCATGGTTGCATTATTATGAATCAATTTTCTAACGCACAATACAATCAATACCCTTTTTGATAGGTATAATAGAGTAGGAAAAAAAAAGAGTCCGAATTTTTTGATGTTCTCCAAAAAGTAAAGATTAATCGTTTACAATTACTATCTGTTGATGAAAAATAATAATATGTTCCATTCAATTCGGCTGAAAAATCCACATTTATCGTTCAGGAAGTTCACGTGTCAGAACTTGCAGATTATCGGGAACTTGTGAGTTGTTCTCCGAAAAATTTACTTTTTATAAATGAAATGCATACCATGTTACAAAAAAAAAAAAAAAAAAAAAAAAAAAGAGAAATAAAATTTTTAGATTGTTCACTACATAAACATGTTGGGTAAAAAATTCCTCTATATCCGGCTAGCATCTTGCCAATGATGTTGCATTTTCTTGTTCTACTTTTTTAATGTTTTTTAATGTGGGAACTGTTATTATAAGTAAAATGGTTAAATTTTTATTTGAAATTGGGTATTATTTGACAATTTTCTTGCATAATGAAGAAAGTATTTATTTACTTAAATTCTTATTAAAATAGAACAATTAATATTCTTTTATTTTTTCTTTGCTTCAAAGTATGCATATATAACAATATAAAAAAACACAAGTATTATTTCTAAAGAGATTTTTTTAAAATAAAAAAAACACATACCGGGTTTAATTCTAAAAAAATAAAAATAAATAAAATAAAAAACACATACCAGGGTTAAAAATTCTCAAGATCTTTTTTTTTAAAAAAAAAAAATAAAAATCATAAATAATAATAATAAAACACATACCGGGTTAAATTTCTAGATCTTTTTTTTAATAATAATATGGTGATTGAACAACCTCCTGACAATCATAACAATCATGATAACATTGCTACACGCGATTTAGTGATTTGTATAATATGTCTAACATAATAATGATCTACGTTATTCTCGTTAGAACGCGCCCGCGTTATTTTGCGATCTGCTGTTGATATTTATTTAAGTATAATGTTTCTTATTATTCACATGCACCCCAATTTAACAAGAAGTGTGAATGGCGCGTAAGAAATTAGGGGTTAACAACCAATCTATCAGTAAAAATGGTGTAAAAATTTAAAATTTTATAAAAAAAATCTGCAAATACAAAAAAATTTACCCAATAAAAGTGCAAAGTCTCACAACATTTGTGAAATCGATATCACCATAAATAAATCAACTTTATCAAAGGAAGAAATCATGATTACGCCAAGGATTGTTGATGTCGTGTAACATGCATTCATTGTTCGAACAAACCGTGTAAATGTCTGAAAACCGAGAATACCTTTATTATTAAAAAGATAATCTCAAAAAAAAAAGGAAATATCTATACAGGAAATTTTGATAAACCACAACAAACCTTTCTGATCGCTCCAAAAGTGGCAACCATGAAAATCAGAAACCTTAATTTCCCACCTTTCAGAACGTTCCAAAACGAGAACTTTGCGGCCATGAAAAAAAAATTGATATTATGCGAGGTAACATCTTAAATTTTGATAACACGTATCTCTGCAATTTTTTTTTTCAATGATATAATGATATTGGTCATTTGATTAGAATTACCGAGTCGTCGGCACGTAATTATCAAAATTTGTCATAAATTAACCGCCCCCACTTACTTAAATTTTTTTGTGGGAAGACATTTCGGGCTAAATTGAGTTACCAAATTTTGAACGGATGTTTCTCTGTTTGAGTTGATAGTAAGACGAAAACGCAAAAACCGATAACACAATCAAGTATAAATAGTTAATTTGTTATTTCAATTGACAAATTTGACAACTAAATTATGTGGCGTATCCCACCTATTCCATATGTATGTCATATTTAACCTTTTTAATCAAAATGCATTTCCGATTGCGGAAACAATTAGCATTATTTAAAAATTCATCCTCTACGCGTTATTATTTATATACTGTATTTTCAATTCGTTGCGTAAATGTTTCGAGAATTTGAATGACCTTCATTATTTAATAATAGTAAAAATCATCAAAACCATCATTTATTATTCTTTTCCCCTTAACATGTTTTCATTCCCGGTTAAGGTTATTTCAGAAGAGGCCATCGATATTTAAATTTTTTAATAATGACATGTTATTTCATTTGGTGTCTTTGTCAATAAAACGGGCAGGTTGCCGCTTATTGATGTGCTTAGAATTACATAATTATGAATACACTCTTTCCTTAATAGAAAAAATGTCTTAGATGTCAACTCGAAAATAGGAAAGTTTTAGTGGTTATAATGAGGTGGATAAATTATAATTTTTAATTTATAATCTATGTAATTATGCAAAAAAAAAAAAAAAAAAAAGGCCCAGATTCAATTAAATCAGATTGAGTCATTGAGCTATTTCATTGTTAAAACAATAAAGGCGTTACATTGGTTGAGTTTCTGAAATAATGATAACAATAAGTAGTCTTTGTTACAAACCAAGAAGGTTCCCTCATTAGACAATGTTTGTAAGTAATGATAAAGCTGCAAACACATGCCGCAACAATAAAGTTTCCCGCTTTTCTGCATCTCAGCGTTGCATCATTACATCGATTGTCCCGTCAATTAATCCAATTCTTTTTTTTTTTAAAAAAATAGAAAAGGTCACATGATTTCAACTATAAATTTTATTTTACCTTTTTTTATGGTTTATATATTTTATATGGGATGTGATCCCATTTATGAGGACTCTACTTGATCACAATGAAATGAAAAATAAAATTTTGGTTAGAGGTCACCAAACCGTTATTTCCTTAAAAAACGTACCCCATATTTTTTTAATGGTTTAAGGTATATAAAGTTGAATTCTTGTTCTCTCTCCTTCCCCTCCATTCAATTCGTCTTTGATATTTCAAACGACTTACAAAAATCATTCTTTTTCATTTTTTAAAAATCAATTCATATTTATCTCCTTACATTTAATATTAATAATCATATGGATAAGGAAGCGCAAAATAAATTTTGCAATCTCTTGATATTTGACGTGACTCCTCAAACTAAAACGCAATTCCCCAATCGCGATCAATTTTGGGATACATCTAATTCTTTGATGCCATTAATGATTGACTGCACCTCATCTTTGGAGAGTAGCAAGATTAAGGTGCAAGACAACTTTGTTTTCACCTCTTTCGTGGAGTCCGTAAATGTAAACCAAAATCGCACAAAGCCCATGAAAAATCAAAAAACCTCAATATCTACGTCCATCTCAAATGAGATTATTTTTAATAACATTACAATGACTCAATGTGAGGAAGATGAAGAATGTGCGGATGATATGGTTATAATTGACGAAAGCACTCAAAAAAATGAAGCAAAAAGACCACCAAGACCACCGAATGCATTCATCCTGTATCGAAAAGCCAAACAACCGATGATTACTAAAGAGGTGGGTCAAATTTCCAATAATGATATCTCAAAGATCCTAGCAAACTTGTGGAAAAACGAGCCCGAAGAGATCAAGTTGCATTGGCGGAAAATCGCGGACAGAAAAAAGATGGAACACATGCAAGCTAACCCGGGATATATTTATCAGCCAAAGAAAAAAAATGTTTTGAATAAGGAAAATCGAAAACGTCGAAGAACGGCTCCTAAAAGGAAATTGCCTCAAAAGGATTTTAGCAAACCCTCAACTTCAAATATTAATTGGGAGCATATGATTTCATCAAATGAAGATGTTATACCGCCTCAAACAGTTTCATGGTCTTATGATGATTTATCATCGCATTATCCCCAAATAACGTCTCAATTTCACAATATACCAACTTTATCCGCCTATTTCACACAACCTCAAGAAATAGTTTATGATTTAGGAGGGGAATGTAACGTTCAATCCTCGCAACAACTTGAACCAAATTATTATTTTTTTACAGATCCGTTTAGGGAACATTTACAACAAATCGACGAGACAATAACTTTTGATATTAATTATTATAATTCTCAAATTGTCCCCGAAGAACCTTACAATCATGACGGTTATTAGTGGAATTATTATAAAGTAAATATAAAAGAATCAATGGTCGGAGCTCTTTTTTTATTTGTTTAATATATATTTTTTATTTTTTTTATATATATATATATATATACATATTCTCTCGATTTTTTTTTCACTCGTAATAACCGTAAACAAACACAAACAAAATTTAAGTTTTAAGAATTCTTCATTTCTCTCTATACTTTTTTTTAATAAGAATAATTATTCCCCAACCGAATTCGCTTTTTACTTTTTTTTTATAAAAAAAATCTGATATGCTTAAATAAGATTATAAGATTGCATGCATGCTAACCATTCACATATATATATATTAGTTTATGATACATATATTTTACATAATAAAAAATCGTAATTGTACTTTTGGGAGTTGATTTAAAAAAATAATAAAAATAAAAAAAAACAAAATTAATCGCGATATTAAATTTTAAAATTTATATTTATCATAATCCCTCCCTTTAAGGAAAGCAAAAATTCATAATGCAAATATTGAAAAATTTTATGTAACATAACATACGAATTCTTTTTTTTGATTCTGGTATTCATCATATAATCTTTATGGAATTATTTAGTGATCATGATTAATTCACAAGAATTTTCAGGACCTTCTTCCTATCCAAAGTCATCAAAAAGAAAAAGAAACGACAGGAAATTCTCGGTACGGGAATGCCTTTCGATGTTATTCTTTAGATATCCAACTTAATGTGAATTTTTCATGTTTCAAAGAGCATAAGATCGTTTCGAAATTCTTCATTTATAATTTTTTTTTTTTTTTTTACGCGTTTTCTGGTAGAAGTTCGTCATTTCTTGAAAGTTCAAAAAAGTAATTCGCTCGGAAATAAATTTTAGAATTATATTAGAGAGTGAGTCTGGAATGTATTGATTTTCATATGTACTTTACCTACACCAGACTCATATTCGTCTATATACGAGATTTAGCATTAAAAAGTTATAATTGAAATAGGCGTATACCATTTTCGCTAACAAACATCACGGATATATGCACGAGACTTTGAACCACGATTATTTATGCGATGCTAAGCATTTGTCTAAGAAATTAGTCCGGAATGTAGCGAAGGACTCAATCATGAAATTTGTGTACCCATCATCGCACTAATTGTATCTTAATACAAGAAACTAAATTAAGTAATTTGATAGAAAATCAAATGCATTATAGGTTAAGTTTTGTCTTAAAATTAAGGTATTTTTTAAGATCCTTTTAAAAGTATGGACAGATACATAATTTTGACAATAAAATATATGTAACTTTATAATAGAAAAAAGAATTTCTTAGGTTACAAAGATATAGTTCTTATGTAAAATTCAAAAAATCATTTTTATAATAAAACAATTTTTTATTTTAATAAAAGGTTTTTAACTATTTTATATTTAAATTTCCTCTTTATTTATATTAGAATAATGTTTTTTGGTTTAATTTAGAAAACATGATAATAGATACTTATAAAATTCAAGACATTTTGATTCTCTACATTTGGATTGTAATGGTTCCAATTCTCATATATCCTAATATTATTTTAAAATTACTAATATTTAATTAATTTTTTCATTAGTAGAAGAATTTGGTATTCTTTAACTTTAAAATATTTTTTTCATATTTTCATACTATATAATATATGATTTTTATTTTTTTTTGTTGATAGCATACTTTTATAATTAGTGAAATACCTTTTAAAGTTAAGTAAGAAGTTTGTTTAATATTATTAGAGTTAATTATTTCTTATATTTAAAAAAATTTAAAAAGAAATTCTAATTAAAATATTTTCTATTATCCAAGTAAAAAATTTCAAAAATTTAAAAAAAAGTTTAAACTTATAATATTAATATTAATACAATATATTATAATATAGGAGGTAGTCAGTAGAAAAGGAAAAATTTTTTGTTAATTTTTATTATTAAGCTAAATTTATACACATAATCAAAATCAGCCAAATGGTCTAATAATATAAATTTTGACCAAAATTTGGATTTTCTTCTTTTTTACTAACCACCTTTTATATATTCAGAATAAATTATAAAAAAAATTTATTAATCAAAATTTATTTTAATAGACATATCTTCCAAATTTTTAATTTAAATAGTAAGCTTTATCATAACTTTTCTTTAATAAATAACAAACTTTTAACTTGTTAATACAAAGTTAAAATTTGTTTAAGAATATTATTTATTTAATAATACTTTATTTTTTAAAAAAAATATATATTTTTTATTATTTTTAATACAAAAAAATTATTGCAATAGATTTTATAAGTTAATAGCAAATTGTTTGTTTTTTAAATAAAATCTATTATAAAATGTTTAGATTTTTAAGTTGATAAATTATAATCATAAACTTAATGAACAATTGTATAAAAAAATTTTAAAAATATATAATAAAATTATATAGCATACTTATCAATAAAGTAAATAAAAATCACTTGATAAAATAATTAGTATTATTTATAATAGTATTTGTAGTGATACCTGACTAAACTCTTTTTTGAAAAATTGTAATTTCGTTAAAAGTTTCATCTCTTTAATATTTTATATCAATAAATATAAAATTATTATATTTTTTAATGTATTTTAATTTAAGGAATTTAGATCAAGTTAAATATAATTTCGGCAATTAAGTAAAATAATTTCATCATTAATAAAAAACTAGTTTCGTCATTTTGGTTTCATCAATTTATCATATTAAGAAAGGTAATTTCGTCAGGTATCACTAACTATTTATTATTCAAAATTGCAAAAATATATTATATATGTTATGATTTTGTAATATAATACCAAAATTATATTTATTTACTCAAACATTGAGTTAATCTATAATTAGTTACTTTTATTATATTTGTTATAAACTTAACAATAATTCTATTTTCTAATTATAGAAGTTAAAGTTCCTCAAAATTGAATTAAATTAAATGTTTGATTGAATTTAATTAAATAAAATTGAACATTTATTCAAATTAAATCAAATCAAATTAAATTTGGTTGAATTAATCAAATCAAATCAAATATAAAAATTTTCTTAATTTATAAAATAATATATTAAAATAAAGTTATTCTAAAGTTTTAATTAAATAAATATATTAAAAAATTTCAAAGATAACCTTTATAAAATAAGTTTAGTAACAGACAAATTTTTACTAAGACAAACTTAATAAACAACTCTGTAGTTTTAGTTTTACAAAGAAAACTTAATAAACCAACTCTATAGCTTCAGTTTTACTAAAAAAAAACCTGGTAAAATAACTTTACAGCTTTAGTTTTACTATGAAATATTACTAAAATAATTTTGAAGCTTCAGTTTTATTAAGAAACTTAGTATTAACTGCTATTGTAACTTTGGAATTAAATACTTGATTTGAATTTAATCAAATCAAATTAAAGATTAATTTAGGTTTGATTAAATAAATCATTCATTGATTTGAATTTGATTGAATTAAATTAAATATAAATTTGAATTTGTATTTGATTTAATTTTTAAATTGAATATTCAAATATCATATTATAAAACCTTAATATCAAAATTATCATAGATTATAAGAAATTATCAATAATAGTTATTAAATTTTAAAGAATAAGATTTTAAAGAATTTAATATTATATCAATTATATCATTTATTAAAATTTTATATAACTATTCAAAATTATTTATTTTAACACTAATACTATTTAGTGATTATTCAGCTAATTTGGTCATGTGATTTAGTAAAATTCAGTTTAAGTTATAAAAATCAATAATTATTTATTATATTATACATAATTTAGTATTTATTTTAGTACTAAGATCTTTTAGTTATAATATTTAGCAAAATTTCAGTTAAATTCAAAATTTGACAACAAATCAATTATATTTTATTGGACTGAAAAATCCTATATAATTAATATAATCACAAATCTTCTCAAATGTAAGTATAAGTTTTACCCTCTAATAACACCTAGAGAGGTAGCAGTACAAAATATAAAAGGAACTACAATCTATTTTAAACTACACCTTATGTTTACATAAGATGGTTTTCGCATTCGTACTCATGTAGATAAGAATTAAGAAACTGATTAAAAGAAATCAATACTATTATTATTGATAAAATATCTATGGTTTCTGCTGAATTATTGGATTTATCTCACATCTATTTGCAAGTTTTCATAATAATACTTTAGATTTTAATGGTATAAATATTATAATGATTAGTGATCTTGCTCAACTAATTAATTACTGGTCAACTAGTATTTTATGCAATTGTCTAAAAATTATTCTATCCATTATTTTTAAAAGCATCTCAATATCAAAATAATGACATGGAATTCTATCAACTATTAGAAGAAGTACAAATGGAAAATATCTCTATAGAATCATAGAAAAGATACAATATTGTCATTTAGAATTCTTAAAAAATTTGTCAATTAACACTTTATTAAATACTATACATATTGTGAGTTTTAAAGAAAATACACAAAATATTAATTGTATGATATGCAATCATCTTCCTGTTCCTAATATTAAATTCTTGATCTCACATGCTATAGATGTCATAAACTCAATCTTATATAATCCATCTTATTCAAATTGTATATTTAAATTTAAAACAAAGGTGTATACATTATGTATCTTAACAATTCACTTATTGATCAAGATATATTCAATGGTACAATTGGAGTTATAATTGATATAAATCTGATAAATTGATCTGTTCACATTGCTTTTTCTATCTATAGCTTAATAATTCATATGGAAATTTATGAAAATACTCATTATTTTTAAATTAATAGAACTAATTATCATCACACTTAATTTTCCTTATAAATTCCTTTGTACTTTCTATACACAAACCTAAGGCTTGACTTTACTAAAGGTTTGCCTTGCATTAGATAGAAATATTTTTCACCTGATTAAGCTTACATTGCTTTTAGAGATGTCTTAATTGAAATAACATTGAGATCTTTTATCTTGATATATTAGCATTTATGATATGAACTCTGAATCAAGT